TTTTTACACACGGCTTGAGTAAAAAAAAAAGCACTCGCTGAAAGCTCCCGCTTGACGTTGTTGCCACGGGGGCCCCCGCGCGCTTAATGAGATAATGTACGCCGCGCGTAAAAACCGAAGAAGGTGTGTGCGTGTATACGTTGGAACGCAGACTTGGTCGCTGTTCTTCATCGAGCTCGGGATAATTTTCGGCTTGCGCAGCGGCGACGACGCCAGTCAGCGTTCGCGTGGGTTGACGTTACACTATACACGCGTGCAAGTGTGCGTACGATATCGCTTTACGACGAGGCGAGTTCGACATTTGGGTTTTTCTGGGATCTTTAGATCTTTTTTACCGTTGTTGCATCGACTCTCTCTCTGTCTTTCTCTCGACGTGCTTATTATAGACGATACGAATTAAATATTTTTACGTTGCATAATAATATACGCGCGCGTGCAAAGGCGAAATCGAGACAATAAACTATACAACATTCGCTTTATGTATCATTATTTAAGATGCAGGCGATTCTCAAGATAATGACAAACAAGAAGCGTGCGCGTGTGTATTGGGAGCTTTCGAGACAAACAAGCCTCTCTCGCTGCTCGTGGTATTTGCTCGCCACTCGTGTGACTGTGCTCGCTTCGGTAATACAAAATAATACTCCCCGTGCATCGACAACAAATTTACAACTTGTATTAATTGTTGACGCTTTGTAGTGTACGCGCAGGTGCCATGGTTAAAAGTCATTGTCGCGTTCTTCAATGGCGTATCTCTCGCGTCGATTGGATATTTCCTGCGATGTAACGACGCGTTTTCATTGCCTTGTTTATTCGTCTCTTGATACGCGCGATTTGCATCGAGTCGAAAACACTTGTCGCGATGTTTCTGGATTTTATTGAATTTTGTTGTTTTGTTTTTTTTTTTTTTTTTTTTCATCGATACACTCGCGTGACATTGTGTCGCCTGCAGCTTCAATCAACGTATACATCTCAAGATTTGCGTATGGTCGAGCAATTGCAGCCGGCACCGGCTTGAGCGGCATCGTTGGGCGTCGAGGTCGACGATATCTTCTGGCCACCGCCGCCGGGGCTGGGCACGAGCAGGGACGATCCGGGCGACGTAGCCGGCGTCTCGCAGCTCTCCTTTCCTCCTCGTTTCTGTTGCTGCTGCCCTGGCGTCGCGGGTGTCACGACGATCGTCGGCACCACCGGACACGTGTCCGTCTCGGCCCGGCTCTGCTTCTCGTCCGTCGACGTGGCGTCGCTGTTGCTGCTGCTGCTGCTGCTGCTGCCGATGTTACTGCAACAGTTGTTGCCCTTGCCTCTCGTTCGGTCTCCTCCCTTTCTCAACGGGCACGCGTCATTTTTCGGCTTCGTATCGCCTGCGCGAGAGAGACAGAGAAGAGATACCGATTGCAATTTTCGAAACCTGGTGTAAAGGATCGTGTCTCTCTCGCGAAAGAGAGACAGAGAAGTCGAGTATATAACAAACGCAACGAAAGCAAAGTCAAAATAAAAAAAAAAAGGAAAGGAAAGAGCAAAAAGGAAAGAGAGAAAGGGTGTACAAAAACGTGTCAGGCGGCAGGAAAAAAATAATATAATATGAGCTTGAACGCGATGAAATCAAGTTCGCTCTCTTCTCTCCGCGCGCGTCTGCGTCGTTTTGCTCTGGGCGCGCGCACACACACACGTTTGTCTTATGCAAATCCGCGGCGGCAGCATCTCGTCCTCGTATTTTCAAGTGATAAAGATGACATGTTCTTGGTAAAATTTGCGCGGGTACACACCCTTGAATTATACCATACCGGACGACGCTTATATATACATACGCGATCGGTGAGTCATTACGAGTGTGTGTGTGTGTGAGTCGAGACTTCCCTTTTTTTATTATTTTTATCTCTATCCTTTCTACCGTTTTTTTTTTATTTACTTTTTCATTTCGTTTTACTTCTCGCCTCCTTTTCGCGACATTTGTACAGCGTCCAAAAAAAAAAAAAAAAAACAAAACGACGAAAAACTCACAATCGACGCGTCTCGTTACGATCGCCACGCCTGTCAGCTCGCAGCTTCGCGGCAGCTCGAGTCGTTGGCAGCTCGGCAGCTCGACGCTCCGACAGTCCTCCTGCTCCTTTTCCTTCGCCCGAGATTTATCGCACGACGACGACGTCGACTCGTCCTCGTAGGTCAAGGTACGCCTGACTCGATTGCAGCACGGCGCATTGGCAGCGGCCGTCGACGATGGTGGTGTCTTCTTCGCGGCGCAGCAGCATCCCCCCGCGGGACGAGCTGATTTCGACGATCCTCCCTGCGATGAACTAAAAATGTATTATGTACTCGTGTTGTTGTTGTTGTTGTTGTGGTCGTAGTCGTCGTCGTTGTATAACGCGAAGGCGAGGCCGTCTTCGCGCTGGCGACGGTAATGAAACGAAGGTAATGTTTGACGAGAGAGCCTCGCTCGAGTGTAAATATCTCGCGGAGGCATCGAAGATCGTCGTTGTATATAGGCGCACGAACCGATCTCTCTGCGGCTTGGCTATTATTATGGTCTACATGCGTTTATACGTATGAATTTTCTCAAACAATAACGCGAGAATCGAGGTTAGAGCGTCCACGTTCGCGGTTTTTCACCATTATTATAACCATCGCTATTATTATTGTCATCATCATAATCGTATACTCACGCGTTGCAACAGCCACGTTTCGGCTTATCGGCCTTGTCGTCGTCGTCGGCGGCGGCGCCATCGCAATGCTCGCACATGCTTGTATGTATCGGGATACACCCTAATTCACTCGCAAATTTAGACGCGACGATTTACTCATGCATCGGTCCGATATCGAAGATTTAGAGAAATTTATTGCGCGTCGCGTTCGTAACGCGGTCGTCGCGAGGCGAGGGTCGACCTCGTCGCGCGCGGATGAAAACTCATGGACGCGCACACACACGCGCGACTGTGTGTACAATAACCAACTATATATACGCGTGAAGTTTGACAGGTTCGGTACTTCAGATCACTCGTACAGCAATGACACTGACGACGACGACGACGACGATGATGATACGCATCGGTCAATGCCGATTATTATTGCTTTTCATTGCTCTCGCGCGAGTTTTAGTCGAATATTTTTCATCGTGTCTCGTCGATCGTCAAAAATATGAATTTTATGGAGAGATATAGAGGGACGAAAAAAAAACGCGTTCGTTGTCGAGCACGTGTGCATATGATAAATATTGCGGCGCTCGAGATACAGCACAGCATGCACCAACACACACACATGCATATTACGCGCGCATCGTGGGATATATACTCGGCGATATTCAAATGAAACGAGCTTGTAAAAGCATTTCGTGGTCATTGAATTTAATCAAGTACAATACAAATTTCTATTTTAAGACGGCAGAGAGAAATACCGTGGAACATGCGGTACTTGGTAGTTCTTCCCGCAAGATATCGCCTTTCGACTCGGCTATAAATTGCCCTCTCTCTCTCTTTCGCTTTATTAAAATTTTCCCTCTTTGTTTCTGCATCTCTTTTTTCTCGCTTCTACTTCATTTCTTTCTTTTAAACGGCACGCTCGCTGCTATTTCATAAAGTCCCTCGACGAAAGATCCGAAAAAGATCGCGCAGGGATGCATCGCCGCGTTGTTTATTTCCCTCTCGGCATTGCATATATATACGAATGCAGCATTAATTATGTCATTCCGAAGGTTCGAGGGAAAATTTCGTCGCTTCGCTTATTTGCGAGCGTATCCTTGCCGCGCGCTCGACACGATATGGGTGCTCGCGTCCGGCGATCGATCCGCCCGCGACCTTTGGTATTATGTAGAGATGATACTCTCTGCTAGTGCTGCGATTAAAAGAAAAAAACTAGATCATGGTTATGTATTATATAGGAGCACTCGTGTTACGATGCTACATCGCGTGCGGTGATTATGCATTTTTTTGTATTATCCTTACTTTTGGGAAAAACATCGATTAAAAAACGAGAACGATAAATTGGAAAAAAATATCGACACGAAATTTACACGTACGTCGTCTTTTTAAGGATATCGATATCGCTGTCGTCGTTCATTACCCGAGGCTTCTGCGTTACAAGTCTTGTCGAGATCGTTATCCGCGATCGAAAGTTTCTAAATTCTTGAACGCAAGCCATACATATCGCACGAATATGCGAGACATTTATTGAAAAAAGAACACGAAACTTACACGAATTTTTGTCCATATTATATTGAACTTTAACACGCCAAGATCATCGCCCTTAAACCCCTTTCGAGTTTCGTCTTCCGCGTCAGGGCGCGCACACACGCACACACACACACGCGTATGTTATGTTATTATTGCCCATACATATAAATGCAGGTCGTCTCTTTCGGTCGTATTATATGCAATCGGCTAATATATATAAGCGTGAAACAGGCCGACGGCGCAACAGCAGCAGCAGCAGCAGCGGCAGCATATGTATTATACGCGCTCGGCAGAGTCATTACGATGAGTTAAGCGATCTCCACCTTTAATGCTTTTTTTCCATTTTTTTTTCTTTTGGTCGTCGTTGTTGTTGCTCGTACTTCGCATTCGGCTCAACGCGTATATTATATAAAGAAAGTTGCGCGCGCACGCCGCATAGCAAGCGAACAAGTGAGTTACTGGTTATAATCACGTTAGACTAATCGCCCCTGCACGGTCCGTGCCTATATATACGGCTGCATATGAAAGCCGGGGATGCTCGAAAGCCGCGGACCGTATTAAACGGGCCAATTGGCCCCCGTGCTCGTTGGGGTCCGTTCATGAACACGAGCGCCTCAGTTGGCATTCTTCGAGTTTGAATTAATAGGATTCGCCTGTGGTATACGCACCGCTACTTTGCGACGCGGTGATTTGGATCGTTTAGGGCTTCGATCTATAGAAGGCGAGGTGTTTTGATTCGATGTTTATTATATTCGGATATTTTAGATTAGTATTATATATCCGTAGCTGTGATGCAATGTTTTTTTAATTTTCGACGATTTTTCTTTCGTTTTTCAGATTTTTCAAAGCCATGGAAGTCTTCAAAGAACAGGCAGGACCAGGTAAGTGCCACCGACGATACTTTATTTTTTTCCGCGTTATGCGTTTTTTCGAACGATCGATTTTTGATGGAATCGGCTTGCGCGCATTAATACTTGAGAATGATTTCGCGGCATGACCGTGAGTTTATAGGTTAGCATAGCTAAAATTTTGTGGCGTGTCAAAAGTTTAGCCTAAGTATGAGAGGTTTCGCTATTTTTGAAAATAAATTTTAAAGTTTCATTTCAAACGTATATAATATTTATTTATTTGTCCAATTCAATTACATTTAATTATACATATTACGCTAATTTTATATGTACGCTTTAATTTTATACATAGCGCTCGCTATGTATGTATTTACAAATTATTTCTATAGCTCATAGCATAGGGCCTCCTAGGATAGGGTCTCGAGCCTCTTTGTCGTCTTCGGCGACGAGGCGCCACAGATACAGAGGCGTTTGTCTCATTCGCAGGTAACGGTTGTTTTAGGTCATTTTCGTTTGATTTTTTTTTGCCGGCAATGGTAACACGAGATCATTTTCGTTTGTTTCATTCGCAAGTATCGGTCGTTTTAGGTCATTTTCGTTGGTTTTTTCTGCAGGCAATGGTAACACGAGATCATTTTCGTTTGTTTCATTCGCAAGTAACGGTCGTTTTAGGTCATTTTCAGTTTTATGCTCCCACCATTGAATTAGATCTTCATCACTCATAAATTCAGCAATTAGTCGGCATGGAACCATGGGCAGTTTCAAATTACAATGATCCGACATAAATAGATCAGTCATGAACAACTCGAGTTGGGCCCTCATTAAAATGTTTGCAATGTGTTTTTGTACACTGTGCCGAGTTATCTTGCAGTCAATCCGATCGATCGGTAGAGACAAATTCTTTACTTTCTTGAAAATCGAATAACCCTCGATATAACTCATTTGACAAATTTTATATAGCGAGATATCGTTATTCACCATAATGTTTGTCAATTCGAATACCTTTTTTTTTACTTTCTCGTTATTATTCTCATCGTTCTCTCCGTTTCTATGTACCTCTCTTTCAAGTTTTTTAAGTTCTTTGCGCAAGTGATTGACAGCTTCTGGTTTTAGAAAGAATCCACATTCATCATGAAAGATTAGGGGAACTAGTAGCATTCCTATTCTACATGCTTTTTTTATGATTTCTGTAAAATGAAATGACTCACCGCCATAAAGACTACTTAAATCTTCGATCTCTTTTCTTCGAACTGTCGTCCAGAATTTCAGAAACCTAAATCGAGTAATTAAGTCCATTCTGAATCCACTTGACGTCAATAATTGTATCATCTCGGGGATGAATAAAACGATTGGATAGTGTACCAATTGAAACAGCTCATAATCACTCATGCTGAACGGTATATTCTCCCTCAAAGTGTCCATACACGCGCCATGTTTCAAAAGCGCCTTCACCAAGTCATAGTCCAATCGCGACACAGCCCATTGCAATGGAGTATAGCCTTGAACATCTCGAGCCTCGATATCCGCTCCTTTGGCAACGAGCAAATCTGTGATCACGTCGACCGGTGTGGGGGCGGCATCTGGATCCGTCGAGGGCGTACAATCGCTGCAGTCGCATACACGGGGTCGCGCGAGCCCGTGAAGTACGGTAGACTTCTGCGGATCGATCCCATTCGGTTCGGCTCCGTGACTCAATAAAATTCGTACGATCTCTGGGTGCCGACGATCGGCGGCCATTTGCAACGGCGAGCTACTGTACGTTTTAAGATTTACGTCTACACCTTCGCTTACGAATCTTTGCACCGTTTCGAGATCGCCAACCAAGCAGGCTCCGTGAAAGTACGTAAAGCCATGCTCGTCGCAATAATTTTCCACCGTATTTTTTAGAAAATAATCAATAACGGACTTTGCGCTCTTGCTATACTCTCTGTGATGAGGGCCAAAATAGAACGCGTTTTCTGTCAAGTTGTATTTACCTACAGACAAATAATGAAGCGCAGACTTTCCATCTTCAAATTTTACTTCGTGAATATTCAGCTCCATCTCCTCGCGCAGAAATATCACCGCCTTCAATTGGTCATTTTCTAATGCGAATTTTAAAAAATCTTTCAAATCTGGATATTTGCTTGTATCGTTCATACTATCTATTAAATCCTTCAACGCCGTAATTCGATGAGTTTCATCAGAGATGTAATGAGCCAGTTGACAAAGCCTCCTATATCTATTTCGTTTTTCAGATCCTATTTCCGAGGAGTTAATTTCTAAGAAGTTTCTTAGAAGATAGTTTATATCTGACATAATTAATCAATTTTTTGGGATGATATTATTCACGAACTTTTGCTAACCGTTGACTTCGTTTCTCGTGACTTATTGGTGATACGAATGAGTGTGGACTCTTCACGTACGCAACCGTCGACTTTACAGGCGCGTCGTCAGCGCGGGCTACTTCCGAGTTGAGAGGGGGGCCCTTTTCCAGTTGTACACGAATCATAATATTTTTGTATAAATATAAGTGAAAGTGATTCCTGGCACGCTCCCATTGTTTTGGTCGTCGAGCTTACACCTCATTTGTGGCGATCGAATAGTCGCACTTGTTTTCAATTAATTTAATTTTAAATAAATACGTTATAAATTTAACAAGCTCGCCTCGTTATTTGTGGCGCCTTTTCGAGTCTTCAGAATTGGAGAGTCTATCAACTGCTCGCAAGTCACACGAGTGCGGCGTGGACAAATGCGCTTTGGCCCAAAAAAATTTAGTCGTAATACCACTTTGAGCCTCCGCCGCTAGATGGCGAGTACCTTCAATTGTCAATCTGCAAGTGGCAAAGTCAAAATAATTGTATATAAACGCATGACTTTGGGAAAAATGTATTTCCATTTTTTTGGAATTTCAATATCGCGGTGTCTTTGAAATGCGTCCTAATCGCATAAATATTCTGCGACTGAAACGGGACATCATAATCTTACTTAAAACAACGGAAAATTGATGATTGTCGATTATTTAGTCTCATGACAAAATTAGAAAATTAATTTAATAACTTACTTTATAATTGATAATTAATAGTTTTAGTCGTAGATATCCAACCAGGTGACGAATAAAAAGACTTCAAATGATTTTTAGAAGAGAGAGAAACATTGCGCTGACGGTTTGTAGCACCTATGACATCGAAACGTATGACGCTAAAACTAAGCGAATCATCGAAGTCATTCTATAATTTTCTACATAATCAGTAGAGTTATCTTACAAGACTCGAAATTTCAAATAATTAAAATCAGTTTTCAACCACTTGAATTCAGGACTGAGTCCTGATAAGCGTACAGGGTCAGATTAGGAAAAGTTACGCCCACGAAAACTTCCATTTGCCGCTAATTTTGAAGAAATTTGAAAAACATCAGTTTCATGTTTAGATAAAATTATTATCAGTCAAGAAATAATCCAGTCTGTCAAAAAATTTATCCACAAATTTTATTAACGCGTGTTACATCAATTCGGGGGCGCGTGTCATTTCGCGAGATTTATCGAAAATTCAAAAGCCAACAAGATAAGAAAACAAACTCTTAGCTGATCATTGAATAAAGATCTACAAAAACTAATTAGCAAAAACATGCACAGAAAATATTAATCATTCGCACGCGAAATCTGAAAACACCTCGATGTCAATGTGCAAAGGTTTGTAATGCCCAAGGTTCAGATAATAGGACAATCATTTCAGTTCAATTTTATTAAAATTTAAAAAAAAAACATTAAATTTAAAAAAAAACATATAAATAAATATCTATGCATATTTAAAATTGTCAATTATCATTTTTTTTCCCGATTGTCGCATACGTGATCTTTGTGATGTTCGTGTACTGTAATTTGATGCAAGAGCAAATGCTGTTTTAATCCAAATTTCTTCCCGATTTAATGCATGCAAAGTCTTTATGACTTTGGTGTACTGTTTTTTGATGGTACAAAAAACCCGATCTTTGTTTAAATTTCTTCTCACAACTGTCACATGCGAAATTTTTACAACCTTCATGCACTGCCTTTTGGTGGGAGGGCAAATTCGAATTTTGCGTAAATTTCTGTTCACAATTGACGCATGAGAACTTCGTGAACTGTCTTTTGGTGTGTAATCAAACTCGATTTAAACCCGAATTTCTTCCCACACTTGTCGCATGCGTGATTTTTACGACCTTCATGCATTGTCTTTTGGTGTGAGAGCAAATGTGATTTTTGTCCAAATTTCTTTTCGCATCTGTCGCATGCGTAATCTTTGCGACCTTCGTGTACTGTCTTTTGGTGTGAGAGCAAATGAGCTTTCTGTCCAAATTTTTTCTCGCATTTATCGCATGAGTAATCTTTGCGACCCTCGTGGACTGTCCTTTGGTGGGTGAGCATATTCGGTTTTTGGGTAAATTTCTGTTCACACTTGTCGCACGCGTAATCTTGCTGACCATCATGGACTGTCTTTTGATGAATGAGCAAATCTGATTTATACCCAAATTTCTTCTCACACTTGTCGCATGCGTAATCTTTTTGACCATCATGTACTGTATTTTGATGTTTAGTTAATTTCGATTTTACTCCAAATTTTTTATCGCAATGGTCACATGCGTAATCTCTGCGACCTTCGTGCATTGTCCTTTGATGGGAAAGCAAATTCGATTTGTTTCCAAATTTTTGTTCGCACTTGTCGCATGCATAATCTCTCCGACCTTCATGAACTGTTTTTTGGTGGTTGAACAAAATCCATTTATGTCCAAATTTTTTCTCGCACTTCCCACATGAGTGAACTTTGCGACCTTCGTGAACTGTTCTTTCGTGCCTCACAAAATCCGATTTTCTCCCAAATTTCTTCTCGCATTTGTTGCATGCAAAATATTTGAGACCTTCATGAAATATTTTTTGATAATTGATCAAATTGCCTCGTTCCCCAAATGACTTCGCGCATTTGTCGCAAGAGTAATCTTTCCGGCCTTCATGGACTTTCCTTTGGTGCTTCAACGAATCTGATTTACTGCCAAATATCTTCACGCATTTGTCACGTGCGAAATATTTATGACTTTCGTGTACTGTCTTTAAGTGCAAGAGCAAACTCTTTTTATTTCCAAATCTTTTCGCACACCTTTCACATAAGTAATCTTTAAAAATTTCGTGAAATATTTTTTTGTGACTTATTAAATTTGATTTATTTTCAAATTTTCTGCCGCACTTTTTGCACGTGAAGTCTTCGCGATTTTTGTGTACTAATTTTTGATGCTTAAACATACTCGATTTTTTTAAAAATTTCTTTTCGCACTTGTCGCATGCGTATTTTTTTTTGTTTATTATGGCTTGTGTCTCGATGGGTTATCATGTCCGATTCTAATATAAACACCTCCTGGCAAATATCACAAATGTGGTTTTTATCGTCTGAAACAACAATGTCATGTTCACTTGAATTATTTTGAGAAACAACTTCCTCAGATTTCTTTTCACTTTTATCCATTTTGGTGCCTATAATAAATAACGGATCCTTTTATTTGGAAATTTAATTAATGAATTTTATCTTTTGATATTATGGCTTATTTCATCGGGGAATTGAATACAACATTCAAACTAATTTATTTTTATAATAATATAAACATGATCTTGAGTGTGTCGAGGTGATGTGCCAAAATTGTTTATGATCATATTGTTTACAAGTAAGGCACTTGATACATTGTTCTTACAACATTGAAACAAATTTAAAATATCTTTGCGACGATTCTTTCTACAAATTTCTGCCTTCTGAAATTAAGTAAACTCGAAAATGTTAAGCGTTTCTACTCAGGATATAATTCACTGAATTTTACTATTACTTAAAAAATCACGATAAAAAAAGGGTCAACGTAACGATACGAAAAAATTATTAATTTCTTTGTGGCCGTAAAAAAGAAATTAATCGACACGAAATACAAATTATAAAATATATATTGCCGGCTGCGCTTCTCGTAGCTCGGTACCGGTAGGGGGGCTTGCTTATTTTTAACGATCTAGCGAAACGAGCCTGCGATTATTACAGTCAAATTAAAACTAATCTCGATTTAAATACATTCGCTTTGCAAAATCAGAGCCTCGTGAGTACGTGTGAGTGTGTATGCGTATACTCGATGTTCCCCGCGATGCCCATATATACACGGCGTGTTGGTTGGCTGGCTGCTGCATCGCCAAAACGAACACAAAAAAAAGGCAGAAACGAGAGCTCTCTCTCTCTCTCTCTCGGGACGAGTGAAAATTTTCTGCTGCATCGCCACCCTGCTGTTTACCTGCATAAGCGGAGAATATAAAGCACCACGGCGTGCGCGCGCGTGTCAGTAAAAAAGATAGGCCGCTGCTGCTGCGCCTTGTGTGCCCGGCGCCATCCCATACAGAATCTCGAGAGGAACGCACGCGCTAACATGCAACTTTGATTTTTATGTAATTCTTTCTCTCTGTCTCTATCCGTTTCTCGCGGTGTGTGCAACATCATCGGTTCGGCTCGCAAATACGTATACGATATTTGCCCTCGTGCGCGCGGAAAAACACGCGTGCATTACTTGGTGCCGTGCGCGAGTAGTAGCGCTTCTGTTTCATCGTTGCTGTATGAACTTTTTTTTCTGCCCCAACCGCGAGCGATTATAAATATTTTTAGACCGCCGTGAAAATTTTACGATAATTTTATTCCTCGAATCGAAGCTCGAACGTCCGTTTTATGAGATTTAAAGAAATTTTCATTATATATCTCGATTACGAATCCCTTGGAGAATGCGAAACAATTATTATCATATATGTGGGCACGATGCCGCGTGCAATAAACAGAGTTTCAAAAATTCCTCGATTCGCCGAAAGCAATTACGAAATTTATCCCGAAATGAATAGGAGATGGATAATTATCCGCACTCGGCACTCCATAAAAATCATCATCGATTCGTCTACAATTACACGGCACTTACGTGCTAAAAAAAAAAAAAATAAATAAAATTGTACATACACGCGAGGCGCACAAATTCATTTATATACATAAATCGAGCGCCTTTTTTATTTCGTGCTCGTCGAGCTGCAATCATATAATGCCTTTTGCATGCGCAAACATACTTACTGTCCATTCGTCGTAATGAAAAGGCGAAGAAAGGCCAAATTACAGCACATCTGATATATAATACGACGCTAAAAGAATAAAAAAAGAAAAACATTAACATTACCGGTGCACACATACATGCACGTATATATATAGAGTTTCTGGGCACGGAAATATTTATTTCGCGGAATTATGCGCTCGTGTGTGTGTGTGTACACTCGCACGTATGCAGGCCATTTTCACACTTTATTCCCATATTCGCGCGAGCCGACGCCAATTATCGATATATAATGCCAACTTCGCAAGCAGCGCGTCGTTTTCATTTTTTTCTTCCTCTCGCGTCTTGAAAAGAAATACTTACTTACATATATTTCGAGCCGCGCCGAACGTCATTATTATTACGCTCGCTCGCGATCGTTTTCTCAACTGGTATACACATGCACGAGGCCCGCGAAAATCTCGCGCGCGCGCGCGCCTGCGTCCGAAGAATTATGTTCTTATTATAGTAATATCACAAATTAGGGCCCTTTTATACGAATACACTCTCTCGCGAGCGAACGAGAGCGAAAAAAACAAAAAGAAAGAGAGAAAAAGGTGAGTGAGAAATCGCGTTGCCGCCGCGCGAACCAGAACGAGAGAGAGACGGAGAGAGATCGCGAGTGCAGCATGAGAGAGCGGCTGCTGCCTCGTTGACCTCGTATGCGTGTATGCGTGCGCGTACCCGTGCGTGAGTGCGCGCGGCAAAGGGTCAGAGGTTGCGGTAAATTTCATTGGCATCTCGAGGTCATGGTAATGCCAGCGCGGCACAGAGAGAGAGCATACAGGCAATCGAATATCCTGAATAAATGTCGAATTGCGATGCGAAGTTGAAACAATTTGAAAAAGTACAACATAATTATATAAGCAACTGAGCGGGGAGAGAAAGATTGCCGGCGATTTTTCACCTCCGTTCGATCATTTTATTTAATCCTCGATGTTTTAATTTTTATTTTCTTTTTTTCTTTGCAGATGAATTGATTGGCGTTCATTGTACTCACGGTATTAACAGGGCTGGCTACTTAATATGTCGGTAAGCACACGTAACTCTCCGCTTCGGAGAAGTCATTCAGTCAACGCAAAAAAAAAGTTATAATGATGAAACAAAAATTTTCTCATTTTTTTTTTCTCAAACCTTTTGAACACAGAAGATATCTTTGAAATTTTAATATCGATGTCGCTTGACTCGAAGTCAATTGGAAAATTTTGTATAGACAAAAAAGTTTTTCCGAATCATCGAAAATCAGTATATTAAAAACAATTTTTACATCTATTACAGGTATCTAGTTCAACAACTAGGCTGGAGACATAATGATGCCTTGAAAGGTAAAATAAAATTGCAACGTTTATATACAGTGTCTTCTCGTTACGTTATCAATTCAAATAATTGATTAAATTACATTAAAATATCTCTCAATAATAAATTCATTGATATTTATTTATTATAATATAAATGGGGCTACTATTCTGTTATCAAACAAATATTATTTTGAAGCTTTGAATCTCATGCTACTAAAAATGAAATTGAAAGTTTCCAAATAAGAATATTTTTAAACTTCGCTGAGATTTTTTCGCATATTTAAGTTATATCAATTTTTTACTGTACATTATTTGTTATTCGATTTGATGACGTCAATTTTTTCACATAATTTAAAGAAAGTAGCCCTCAATTACAAATGTAACGTTAACACACTGTATTTCTTTGACCATGGTCTTAAATATATTGAAACTGCAAAGAGTATTTGAAAGCTCATACGTAATTACCACTGAATAAGTACGATGAGAGATTTAAATATTAGAAAAAAATAATAACTACTCTCTCGATCGAAAGTCATTCACTTTTACAGTGATGCTTAAAGAGACAAAATAAATATTGACAACTTCTGTGTTTGAATACAATAAAAGTCATAATAATTGCTATAAGCAGTCAGATTTGAGTTAGTTGGTACATGTGTACGAAGCATTAAATTTACTCGATTTCTTTTTGTACATATTTAAAAAGCTTTATGAAATAATAAGCGAATTTTAAATCATGTTTAGATGACAATTTAATTGGTTCATAAAATTCAGATCAATTTTAACCATTGAAATCCGATAGCACTGAATACCACTTTAAGTCTTCACCACTAGATGGCGAGTCCCTTTTATCAGCAAATCTGCAAGTGGGGAAGTACATACAATTGCATAAGTCAAAAGCCATCTGCGTGAGCGATTATTCGTGAATTCGGTAATCCTGAAGCTCAAGTATTAACCCTTTTCGGCCTAAAACGACCCAAACAACAAGCTCTCTTTTCAAATGGTGGTAAAAAGTTATTAACATGGTGAAAAATTAATTTAAACAAAAAAATCACATTTTTTTCACAAAAAAGAACTTGTAATAATCAATTCCCGTAATGTCAGTTATCATCACCGTACTATGTTCAAGAAACTAATATAATTATGAGCATTTCTGCTGGGGTCTACATATTTTATTATCGATCAGATTTGGTTTACTTATCGAATGACTTATGAAAGTAAAAAAATATTGTCAACGTATGTCTGATAAAATTCCATTAATAATTAGCAATTTCATTGTCGAATAATATTAATATTCTAGTATTTACATGAAAATCTCAAACCTGACTGTAATTCACATAATCATTTTTTTTTTCTACCAAGCTCATATCTCACTATTCCGAATGAATTTTCCAGCATTCTCTGAGGCTCGGGGCTATCCGATCGAGCGCGCCAATTACGTCGCGGACCTGAAGCGCGTGAAGGAAAACTCGCCGCTCGATGTAAGTAAAGTCGACCTGTCGGCACCGATGAAAAGCACCCATCATAAAAAGCGCCCGTCGATGAAGTCGCACGGCCCGCCGCGGCCGTTCCCGCCGCCGCTGCCGATGGGCCCGCCCATGGCGCCGCCACCGCTTCATCGTCGTTTCATGAACGGCGGCCACTTTCCGCCACCGCCCAAGTTCGGGCCCAGGCTACAGCCACCGGGCCCGCCGCCGAGCGGCTTCGGTCCCATGCACCCGCCGATGGGGCCACCACCGCCGATGGGCGGCCGACCGGGCCCGGGGGGTCCCATGAGGGGGCCGCCGATGTACGGCGGGCCGCACGCTCCGCCACCGCCGCCGCCACCGCATCATCATCGAGGCGTCTCGGGCCAGGGTCAGCCGCCTCAGCCGCCGCCGTTCGGTGGTCCGATGCACCCGCCACCGCCGCCGCCCGCGTCTATGAGGCAGCGGGGACCGATGGGCCCGCCCGCAGGTCCGCCGCGACACAGCGCCGGCCCGTCGAGGCTGATGGGTGGGCCGGTTCCGCCGCCGCCGGGCCCGGGACCGCGACACCCACCCCTGATGTCTCTGGCCGGTGGACCGGCGGGCCCGATGATGATGCCGCCGGGACCGCCGAAGGGCCCGCGAGGCGACATGCCTCCGCCGAAGGGTCTGCCGCCGCTGCGAAGCGCCGCACGCAGCCTCGAGCGAGTCAGCAGGCCGCCCGGCAGAGAGCTGGACTTCACGGCGGACGTGTTCGAGGAGAATCTCACGACGTACGCCCAGGTCACGTCCAGCAGCAGGCCGCAGTCCAATCGTTATCGGTCCAATTTCAAACATTGACGATAATTTACAGAAAAAAAATTAGCGAGTAAAAAAGGCGCGTCGGGGTCCGTACCGATGAAAAATTCCGTGGTCGTATTTTGTCGTCGACATCGACGTCGTTAAATTTTAGTCTAAATTCAAATTAAAGTATTGAATGTAAGTTTGATTCGACTCGGTTCGACGATGTTCCTCGGGAGTTTTCGTCGGTGCGACCGACGCGTCGGAGTGAATGCTTTTCCTCTCTCTCTCTCTGTCTTTCTCTGCCTCTGATTTTATGTAATATAACAACTCAATGAAATAGAATTAATTTTTTGTACGAGATGTAGTATAAACTAAATGGAGGACAAAAAGGGGGTAAACGTGCGTCAGTCGCGTCTACCCTCTGATCCAATTTTTTTTTGTATAAATGTTTGTGCGCGCAACTCTTGAGTGTCGGTCAACAAATGTATAATCACCTTTTTTTTTCTATTTAAGTGTAAAACTCGCTTAATTTTAATCTCAATTGACTCGGATATAATTAATGTGAATCGACTGGCTGTACTATGACGTTTAAGTGATAAACGATCGGGGACCCTTTCCCACGAAAATGAACTTTTTTACAATATTATAGATGATTTTTTATCGTAAAATTTTGATTTTCACGGTTTTACCCTGAACGCGTTACTGTAAAAATTATGAGGCCGATCGGCGTTTCATATCGTTTTGCCCACGATATCGTCATTACTGCGCGGTTCTCGTGAAATGTAGTTACCTTTTCCTTTTTTTTTCTTCAATCGAAATGACACCGGCCATTAGGAATAAAGCAAAATTTTTTAACATTGTAGATAATCAAGCATATTGTTTAATTTCTGTTCCTGTGGCGCAAATCCAAATAGGTGATTACTTTATTTCCACTGAATAAATTAATCGATGTACAATGAAGAAGACGACGCATTTGAATCATTTAAATCACTCATCCAGCCATTCATGATATCGTCCCCAAATAAATAATCCTTGCTTTTATACTATATACCATGTATTGATGTATATGTTGCAGCTCGACGAGGAGAATTCTTTTCATCTGGCTTGGTTCAGAAATTTTAAACAGTGATGATTGAAATAATCGATTGTAAAAGATAATAATTAATTAACTTATGATTTTTGTACATAATATATTTATAACTATTATTTACTTGAAAATTAATGACGTAAATAAAGAAGATTTATTATGACGAAAGTATACATTCTTTGATCTTTATTTAGTTCTTTTCCATAAAAACGAAAAAAGTGCAAGTACAAACTTTTCTCAGGCATTTGAGATGTCGATAAGCAATACAATAATGATACACGACAAGTGTTTTCCCACCCCTTGTCATTCACGAGCACACATATTCGCGTGTAAATTCGCGCATTATCGGAATAAACGGTATTTTAAAAAAAATTATTGCCTCCTCGACTCTACAGCATTTGGCATTCATAATACACACACGGACACAAAACGCGGAATAATTTATGGTCTCGCTGATCAAGGAATAATAGATACAATACAGAAAAACGAGCAAATTTTCACTCGCGTGAGTTATTGTGATTATTATTGTTGTTGTTGTTGTTGTTGTTATTAATCGTCGTGTGCCACGCGCTCACACAAGCACGAGATATTCGGTGGGAGCTCCCATATTAGAGGCTGCTGCTGCTGCCTTATGATAGGGTACGAAAACGCCTCATTGAATTACCATCGCGATTATAAAGCTGCGAAGCCTCGCGGGTTTTATACGATATAAATACACACAAACAGACTGCGAGAGATGCGCTTTGTTACTTTTTTTTATTTCTTTCGTACCTTCGTCCGTGGTGAATTTATTGCCTTTTACTGAATCGATCGCTTCTTAATATACCTTGGCGCGCGCCCGTATGCGCGCCCGCGAGCACACACACGTGTACGTATGTGCTTTATGCGCTATCGCGCTGTATATACGCGTGTATGTATTTATGAAACTCTCGGCAATTTCGACGATTGAATATTAATTTTCTCTCTCTCTGCGACTCTTGGTCTCGAAAAAATATGCACAATCTCGCGAGAAACTCGATTTTCCGCGTTGTTATTATACATACAGCTCGTATATACCGTGTAATTGATAAGACGCGGCCTATAACGACGAATATCATTAAACGAGCGAGACTTAGCGCCACTGTTACACACATAGACTGCGCGACAACAAGAAGCCGATCGCGCGTGGGCGGAAAAGCTTGATACGAGCGCGCGAAAGATTAAAAAAAAAAGACAGTTGTTTTCACGCTACATAAGAGACGTTGGAACGCGCGGTATGTAGCGCGCGTGCCGCCGCGATCTATATAAAAACCTACGCAGCAGCGGTAACAGCCCTGTATATAATTCGCGCCGTGCATAATAACGGGCGATTTAATTTTCTTCGAGCGCGCGACGAGATAGAGACCGTATACGAGGTAAAAAAAAAAAATAAAACGAGAAAGAAGAAAAAAAAACGATAAGTTCTCTATTCCATGTGCAATGTTTATCTTGCTTTATTAGTCGAGGTGAGAAATAATTTTTAACGTATTATGCGCGCGTGGCTCGAGCTCGCGCTTGTTTTATTGATTGAATGCGTTTATATACACAAGTGTGTGTTTGTGTGCGCCACGAGCGCACATATACATAAACTTGTTTTGTTATTGGAAAAATCATTTATGAAACGAGCTGATTTTATATTTATTCTCTCGCGGGCAGGAATACGTTATTACTCAATGTCGTCGTCGTCGTCGTCGAGCCTTTATGATATTGATTGAAAAGTAAGCAAATACAGCACGTCACTTTATGTATCTCAATTATCGCTTATGTATATTATAATAATATACGCGCTGTGCACTCGACGCGCGGCGGAGAAAAAAAATCGACTCCTGTGCATCGAACAAGTGCGTATAGTAGAGCAGAACCAGAGTAATGCAATAAACATTTTCAAGCCGATAGAATTCTTATAGACGTAAGTTGGTCGTGAGACAAAGTTTGCAGAATTTTATTTAGGATGAGCGAAGCTCATGGGAACCGATTAGTAGCACACTTCTTTTTTTTCGAAAAATTTATTGATTGCTTCAATTACTTGAATATCGCTATTACATAATGAGATAATATTTGAGGAATTCATGGTATTATTGTAAATAACAAATTGTTTTTAAACTAATCTTCTAAACATGTTCATCAAATTTTATACGTTTATTAAGTTGTTATGCGTGAGTGATGCATCGAATCAACAACTTTTGAACTTTGAGATACGACTTCGCTGAGAATTTCTTTCCACGTGTAACGCACGAGTGAGTGATACCTTTATAAGAAGCTTTGACGTGCCGGAGGTCAGATCGTTTTGAACATTTCTTTCCGCATTCATCACATTCGTATTAAACACCATTGTGCGCCGAGTCGATGTGGGTTTTGAGATAATCTTTTCTTGTGAATGACTTTCCGCATGTATCACATGCATGTCTGATTCGTTTGTGCACCGAATCGTTGTGTTTTTTGAGACCACTTCTATCTGAGTACTTTTTTCCACAAATACGGCATGCATGTTTGACACCATTGTGCGCATTATCAATGTGATTATTAAGACTAGACTTCTCTGAAAAATTTTTTCTGCAAATATGACATGCATGTCTAACACCATTATGCACTGAATCTATGTGAGTTTTGAGATTACCGATACTTGAAAGTTTCTTTCCGCACACATCACACGCATATGTGACACCATTATGTACCATATCTATGTGGGTTTTAAGGTAACTTTTTACTGAAAATGATTTGCCGCATGTATCACATGCATATTTCACTCGAATGTGCATCAAATCGATGTGAACTTTAAGACTATTTTTTGTCGTCAATTTATTTCCGCAAATATCACATGCATATGTGACACCACTATGCACTGAATCAATGTGGATTTTGAGATGATCCTTCCGAGAAAATTTCTTTCTGCATATATCACATGTGACACCAGTGTGCACCGTACCAATCTTTTTTTTTAGGTTATTATCGTTTTTACATTTTTTTGTTAATCCCCTTGTTTTATTTTGTTCTCGGTCGAAATTCAAATTTGATTCTTCTGCTGTGTCAGTGCAATCAACAAATTCTTGTTTCACTTCACCTGAGGGTTCTAATTTAATTATGTCTTGAGTTTTATAATCATCGACATTTCTCATATTTTTATTTTTTGAATAATCGTCAGTTTTCTGAACTGCTAATAAATTCCTTTCGGGCTTGACGTCTTCACACTCGAAAACTATTTCCATTTCTTCAACAAGTTCACTCTCAAGTTTAATGTCACATTTCCGTAGCATATAAGTCTGTCGAAAAATTAAAGTTATGTAAGAATTTTCATTTAAAAAATATACCAGATGCATATAATCATCAGCACGAATACGAGTTGCATTGAGTTATCAATACTTACAGAAACTTTTGGGTGATGTGGTAAGAGTTGGAAGTCCTTACTATCGGGTTTCTCGTCAATCAATTCATCATCATTTTCAATAAGTGGCACATCTCTTGACTTCTGATTCACTCTAAAATAACCTCAATCAGATCAAGTATACTGTTGTAATATTTTTATAATTTCAATCACATGCAATAGAATTACCTGTCAGCATAGTTAAGCGAACTATTAGATTCCATTTTATTCACTTGGAATTGAAGTGACAATTAACCTCTCTATTATTATCGAGCGATCAACTGCGAAAACTGCCGAAGAGCACTGGGAGCTGTGTGTGCCTGTGTCAGTCTGTTCCGTTGTTTACGTCTGGCGTCGCGTGCATAACCTCTTCGTGCGTTTGGCCGGCTCGCGGTGTTTTGCCATGCACGCCGCGATAGTCACTGCGCGCTGCGCTACACGGAGTGCGGAGCTGATCCCGATGATCGCGGTAAGTCGTTTCTTATCAAGATCGCAGATTTAACATTATTTACAACTCGACCCATGAAATTTTTAATTAATCAAATGTATCAATGTATATAAAAAGAAAAACTAAATCGTTATAACTACGTCATCGAAGAAACGACATTATTCATTGCGTGTCTGATGAATTGTAAAAACATTTTTCTTCCGATGATACGATCATTGCGAAAAAATGAGAAATTAAAAAAAGATTCTACAATGCACGAAGCACACTTACTGAAAGAGTATGAGTATAGAGAAAAAAAGGAAGTTGATGCTAACGCACAAATTCGTTTTTCTTTCGGTTGGCGGTGTATGGGTATGGGTGCACGCGCGCGAGCGAAAGAAATAGTAAATCCACTCGTAAATCAGTGTAACGTCGCGGCCGCTTTAAGGATTCGAATGTGTGTGCGTATCTCACGACGAAGACTCTCACTCCTTTTCTCTCTCTCTCTCTCAACCCCGCTTTTTTCTTCGCAAAGAGTACAATCTACGCTAACTTTTGTCCCGAAATGTAAGCTCTCTCTCTCTCCATATAGTGGAAAGCTGCGCGCAGCAATCGCCGAGTAGCAGTAGTAGACACGCTCATTTCGCATCTCTCTCTCTCTATATATATATACCCGAGGATGAAGAAGAAGAAGAAGACGAAGAAGAAGAAAGAGAAGAAAAAAAAGCCAAACCGATCGCGCGCACGGGGGTGTACGTGGAATAAGAGTTTTTTTTTTGACGCTCTTATACTCGCTATACTTACACGACGCACAGGCGTGCGCGGCATTATACCTTACTCCGCTTCTTTATCCCGACATTAGATTTATCGACGTATTTTCCTTTGAGCTGAAGTATTTTCCCTTTCCTTTTCATCTCTTTCTCGTTTTTTTTTCTTCTTCATATATTCCTTCATATATTATACGCGCGTACACGCGCAAAAATGTGCTGCCGTCGCGGCGTACTGACGTACGCGTTGGCGAGCTATATAGCTGCCTTCATGATTGAACCGTGCGCGCGGGAAAAAAGTGGGGAAATTTACAATATTAGCGGCAGGATCACGATTAAAAATGAAAAAAAAAGTATCAAATTAAAATAAAAAAAAAAAAAGGTAGGTAAGAAGAACGATAATATAGAACTAATCCTCGGTTAGTCGGCAGTCGTAACTGCGGTAGGTCGAGTCGTCAATATAATACACCATGAGAAACGGTAAAAAAATCATAGGGCACATATACCGCGAATAATATTTAATAATAGAAGACACACACACACTCGTATTATTACATGGGTTGCTTTAGCTGCTGCTGCTGTTGCTGTTGATGATGCCCGGCATCGTATATAGTGCTAAACGTTTTTCTCCGAGCGTCGATATGAAATAGCTCTCTGCAGCATATGGCAATGGGGGCCCCTTGTATACTACTATACATATATGCCATCACATGAATATGGTCTCTCTCTCTCTCTCTCTCTCTCTCTCTCGTGTGCAGTGCGCTTCAATTAATACGAGATAATTATGGGCCCCCGCTGCAGGTGAGTCTTTCTCTCTCTATACCACATATACATATATCGAAAGCGAGAGAGAGAGAGAAAAAAAGGATGAAAAAAAAAAAAAGAAACGGCCGAGAGGAAGGAACGCGCTTCGGAATGCCGCTCACTTAATATATGCCGTGTATTAAATGCAAAAGCTCGAGCAGCAGCAGCAGCAGCAGCAGTAGTCGCGCGCATTATATATATCTAGAGGCTCGCGCCGCGCGTTTAAGGCGCGCATTGGTTCGAAGGTTCGCCAACAGGTTTTCAGCATAGATGAGTGTGTGCGCATATAACGCATGGATATATATAACGCAGCACACAGACCATTTGCAGGTGGGCTATTATAATGGAAGTCGAGCAGCAGCGCGACGGCGGCGGCGCTGTATTTAGCGCGTGTTAACGATTGCCACTATAGGAGCTCCCATATGTATATCGACTTTTCTCGCGCCGAACGAGATGATATGACGAAATCATTATAATAACGCGCCCGACTTGCGACGACAAGGAGGTGTGTGTGTACGAGTTTATATAGAGAAGGAAAACTGTATAAAAAGCAAAGAAAAAAAAATCGTCTCGACAACAACGGTTTTCCATTCGAATGGCACCGCGACGAAAACCGCACGAAAATTGTTATAATACATCGACGATCGCTCTGGGGGCCGCCGCAAAAACCGCATTCGCTGCGACGCGCTTCGATACGTAGATGGAGCGCAACAGCGCCCACGCGTCCTTATAAATTGTATCGTAAACCGCACGGTTTCGAGATTAATATAGTCGCCGCGGATGATGCACAATTGGTACGATCGAGCCGCGTATTATGAATGTATCAATAAATAGGCTGGCTTGAGATCTTTATAGATTCTCAAGTATCTATTCCATTGGGTCGCGTATCGAGTGCACACGAGAGTGAAAACTAATTATATCGTCAAATGTATATGTACACACGTGATCTCGATGAAGCTACTTCGCCGAGTTCCGATCGAGAAAATATTTACTCGAGTTTCGTCATCGTGCGTACAATGTATGCGCGTCGTTCTAAACACAAGTATTAACATCCTCTAATGAATCATAATAATACAATATTTGAAAAACGTTTGCGAAGCTTCTTTTTTTCCTCCTCCTTGGCTGAGACTTGGGAATACATTTTACCATCTATACTTGTTCAAAGCACACACACACACATCGCGATATACATTCGGCTAATATGCTCTTGGACCGAGAGAGCAAAGATCGGAGGCTCCTAAAGACTATATTAGCTCAGCGCGATATGTGCCGTTATACACACGATGTGCCTTCGACGAAGAGCAGCTCGAATATATACGCGCATATATACACGAAGAATCGCGCCGCCTTCGCCTATTATATATTTAACGTCAGCTGTATATTAACAGAGAGGCTGCAGAGACGAGTCTAGGCATTTTTTTTGCTATCTTCGCGCGCATATGCTCGTTCGTGTAATCGCGCGCGCGCGCCCGTGACGAGCCCTAATTATTGCGTCGGCGGCGTCTACGGCAAATAGTGAAAGTACATAATGTATATAGAGTATACGTACCGCGATGTTGTAACTTACTTATATTTCATTCGCGCCCTTGTTATTTTCACGTTATGTTGTGTACGGGCCCCGTTGTTGGCAAACTGGGAACGAATTTTATGTATTATGATGTATAAATATCGTATACATTAATTTACTTATCATCATTACGACACACGTACGTCGTATCTCAATACACGAAGTAATCTTCAGCCGGTGGTATTATTGCAAGTCGAGCGGAGGTGTGCTTGGCGGCGACGGCTCGCGTCTTTCGACGCTTTTGAGACCGAGTACCAGAGCTCGACTTCGTCCCGAGTCGCTGCGACGCTTGGAGGCACATTTCAAAATGATGCTCCGTCGTCGCCCTGCGTGTATACGTGTAGCGATGGACACACACACACACATACACTTACGTACGTGCATACTTTGTTCTTTCATCGGTGTGTGTGTTTGTGTGCACCGCGAGAGACAGAGAGAGAGAGAGAGAGAACAAGAGGGAAGAGAGTAGAAAGAAAGCCTGTGGGAAGCGAAAACACTGGCCCGACTCTGGATGTTAATTGTTGTTTAAATTTATGACAGCCTTCTTTTTCCTTTCTCTCTCTCTCTCTCTCTCTCTCTTAACTTTTATTTGCGCGCGCGCACGAGCTCAGATAGTCTGCTTTTTTTCACCTCCGGCGCATCGACGCGATGCTCCTTTAATTTTTTTTTGGGGGGCTTCTCGTACTCTCTTCCTTCTCTCTCTCTCTCTTTCCCCGCGTGGATTTTTTTTATTTGACCCCTTCGTCGCACACACTCGTGTACGCTGATAATAAAGAAGCCGCGCTCGCGGTGGCTGTGTGGCGGCGGCGGCGGCGGCACAAACCGTAAGAGTCAGAGGTTAAACGCGCGCGACTGCTGCTGATGCCATTTATCCGTAAGTGCGTGCGTGCGTGTGCCCGATTCTTCCCATTGTCAAAAACGAACGAAGATGCAATGAAAAATAATAAAAAAAAAAATAAGAGAGAAGAAGAAAGAAAGAAGGAGACAGGGTATATATAACTCGACTTCTTTTACAATGCCGTGAAAAATTGTATTATTAATTATTTGCCCCCGGTGATTAGGCAGGCGTCTCTTCTCGATCCCTTTCTCGAGAGAAGGCTCTTTAGTTATTTCACTCGTTTTGTTTTCTCTCTCTCTCTTTCTGCTCGTGAATGACGAGGTCATTGTTTTTGACGATGCATTTTTCATCGCGTTATTACTCGAGCCATCGGGCGAGGGCAATGGAATTTCTTACAATATTAAATGCTGTACTCTCGATTGATTTCGCGCTCGAGTGTTCGTACATATGCACGCGTCTCTCAGTGACCTTTGAAACACATTGCATCGCATTATATATATCGAGTTTAACTCGGAGACCACAAAATGCACATCAACGCATCATGCCCGAAGCGCTTAGAGACTGCATATAGATAACTCGACGACGGGCCGATCTCGAAATCCTTCGAATGGAATCGTTACACATATTAGTATAATACATACAGGCGGAGCTAACGCGTAGTAATATACGATCATCGCGATCTCGAGGCATAAAGTGACAGAAATTGACAGTTGGAAAGGAATCGGGCGCGCGCGAGAGCGCCTTCATATATATATCGGGTGTAATGTGTATTGTTGCACAAATACGTATAAGAGAGAGAAAGAGAGAGGCCACACAGACATGGTATTAGAGACAGATCGTGCTGTATCGCGATACACATCGGTAAATCAAATGATCGTGATAATAATCTTATGCACTC